CCATGCATCATGGAGATTCTCCCCATCCTCTTGCACAAAAGCATTAATCCGATTCCTCGCATGTTGAGTCTTGGTAGGGGAGTAGTATTGCATAAGGAACTGTTCTTCCATCTCATCCCATGTCGAGATAGAGTTTGGCTCAAGAGTGTAGAGCCAATCTCTAGCTCTCTCCGTAAGCGAGTAGGGGAAAGTTTCAAGGAATACGTCTTCAAGAGCAATCCCCGGTCCCTTCTTGATTGCCTTACAGTCCATCTTGAAGTTTGTAAGGTGAGCATTCGGGTCCTCGTTTGGTCTCCCACGGAAACTCATATTGTTGAGCATTTGAATGCATTGCGGTAAGAGTTCAAAATCTTCCAGTGGTCTCCGGCTGACGCATGACAGTAACTGAGTGTACTTCGGTTGTGTGTATGTTCGAAGCGTTCTAGGGGGTGCTTGGGCTGGACCTCTTTGGGCATCGACCCCTCTCAACAGCTCTTCGGCCATATCGGGTTGTTCTCTTCGTGTGTTGTTCTCTCTCAGCATTTCTTCGGCCATTCCCCACTGTCTTTGCTGTCTCCGAGCAAAGCGCAGTGTTCTTTCTATTTCGGGGTCGAAGACGAGTTGATCTCTCCGGTGGTACTTCTTGTCATGCACCGGAAGAGCTGCACACCAAAGAGACAAAACGAACCGAGTGTGCTGTGAAACGGTAGGTACTTCTTGTCATGCACCGGAAGAGCTGCACACCAAAGAGACAAAACGAACCGAGTGTGCTGTGAAACGGTAATGACTCAAATTAATCCAAGCAAAAACCCAAGCAATGGTGATCTAGCAAAAATCTAGACTAACACGAAAACGCCTAGTCCCCGGCAACGGCGCCAAAAACGTGATGCGCACGCACCGAGTCTTATATTTAGTACCCGATTCGTACCACTATCCGCAAGTATACGGTAGTTGTAGTAACGGGGTCGAACACGAGGACTAGGTTGTGTTAATCTATCCCTAAGCTAGATTGATGGTTAAATAAAAATATGATTTGTGATGAGTGTCGGAATACAAGAAAGCAAGCAAAATTAACGGGTTGTAAAACGATGGAATTGAGGCGTTGTGGGTTCGGGATCCCTCAAGAATTGCACGGACGGTTGATGATGCTACAATACCTACGGGTTTATCTTCCAAAAGGGGGTTTCAAGCACTTCATCTAGGGTTTGTCTCTCCCGAGCTTAAACTCACTACCTAGAGGATCGATTCACCCATTTTCCAATGATCCAAATGATCTCTAGATGCATTAACGTACCCCATCATGAACCCTAAGCAAGCTAAGCCATCTCCCAATGTGAATAACTCACTCATTCGATGTTTGGTTCTAAACTTCATCCCCATATCCCTATGATCAATGTGTTCTAACATCATACCAACTAAGATTTCGCCAAAGTTGATAGCATTAAGTACAAAACATCAAACCCATGGAAGATTAAGCATAGATGTCCATACAAAAGTGGGGATCCTTCCCCCACAACAAAAGTTACTACTCCATGCCTAGGGTTTCAAAACAGAAAGCAAAATGAAGAAACATAGAAAGGGAAAAGAGAAGCTCAAGATGTCTTCAATGGTAGTCTTCTTCTTCTCCAAGTTTCCTAGGTCTCCAAAATCTCCCTTTTCACTTCTCCAAGGTGTTTTTCTTCAAGTTGGTCGAGTCCCCCCTCTCTCTCCTCCAAAATCCCTTTTTTTGAAAGTGCAGCAGCTAGGTTTCTCCTCAAAAATCGAGCTTTTCCTTTTTGGGCCTGATTTAATAACGGGCGGTCGCTCACTTTTTCTTCAGGGTCGCCCGTTTTCATCTTCAGAGTCGCCCGTTTTCTGGTTCCGGGAGACCGCTCGTTTGTTCGAGCGACCGCTCGTTCTTCATTGCGTACGGTCGACCGCCTGGTTTCTTGAGCGACCGCCTCTCCCGTGATTTCAGCGTCGAGCGACCGCTCGATTAAATGGGCGGGCCACCCATTTTCTCTGATCAAATTCTACCGCCCATTTTCTCTGATCAAATTTCCGGGATAAATTTCGCTAATGGGCGACCGCTCAGCAAAATGAGCGGGCCGCCCATTTTCTCTGAGCCTTCCGGGACTTCTCGATTCTGCTCCTTTTCCGTGCCTTGTGCGTGAATGTCCTCGTTTGATCATCCTGCATGAAAAATGGAGAAAAGAATCCTACCCATGACCGTCTAACGTCCTATTATGAAAGGTATGTGCAAAGTATGATGTAAGACGTTAGAAAAAACCAGTGAAAATCTCGTGTGATCAGACCCCCCAGTCATCCCCAAGATAAAGTTCTCGCAAGGCATACCTAAGTAGCAGCACTTCTTCCACTCGTACCAAATCAGCTTCTCTTCTGGCAAACATATAGCTCGAAAAGAACAGGTGTAGGAACCTCAGTGTAGGATGTCTTATGAGATGTGCAGGAAGGTTCTGCTCGTACTCCTCACTGGCGATTTCCTCCCAGAATTCCTGGAGAACTGCTGAACTTATGTGTGGGAACTCATAAGTGTCCCGAAAGGGCAAGCCTAAAATATCTTCCATCTGGTGAGTGATAAGTTTGTGATCCTTATTCTGAACCCTGAAAACACAGTATCCATCCTCAATAGGTCCATTGATAGGCATATAGTAATTGTAGGTGGATAGGAACTCTAGTGTAAGTTCCCTGTAGGATTCCTCTTCGGCTGAATAAATCATGTACCATCCTGCTTGTCTCATTAGGGTTGCCGCTTGAGATTCCCATCTCCCAAAGTGACTTCCTATCATTGTCTCATTAGGGTTGCCGCTTGAGATTCCCATCTCCCAAAGTGACTTCCTATCATGGATATGCTTCTGAATCTAGTAGGGACCAAGGGAGTGTTCTGGAGATTCCCATGCAATTTCCTTTGGAGTGTGGATTCAAATCTCAGCGGTTTGATATCATGACTTGGGACTTCAGTGATTTCCCTCAGCGGATATATGTGCGTGTTCGTGCTCAATGAAGCAAAGTGGGGGTGATCATACCCCATGATGTCGCCTTAGCGAAAGAGATCGATGTTTGGCTCGTGTTTTGATGTCGCAAATCTAGGTGTATAAATTTGATCAAGTAATAATATCCTAGACTCAACAATTAACCGCAAGTGTACGGATCGTGTGTAGCAACTAGGGTCGAACACAGGGATAAGTAAACAACTGAATCAGATTCCAATCCAAATCTAGATCTAGAGAAAATATTAGAATGATGAGAATGTATCAAAAGCAAATAATAAAAACAAACGATAAACTATCAATGGAAAAACACTGCAGGCTTCGGGATTGCTTTACATACAAGGGTCTTTCAAAAGATGCAAACTCAGTGGTTTATCTATCCAATTCAGGGAATTGAAGCCCTAAGTTGAGATTAACCCTCTCGAGTCTAACCTCACTATCCAGGCTTTATCCTACTAATCTCTCGATTCAATAGTCTAAAACCCTGGATGCATGAACTGATACACGCACGGAGCCAAGGAAGTCTCGCTCGTTTCCTTCGGTAAAATGCGGTTTGTACGTGCGTGTCTTATGTTGCCTTTGGGTAACGAATGCAACTAGCTCGAAACTAGGGGACACTTGGAGACTCACTAAGGTATTCCTGTGGTTAGATTTCAAGAGGATATCCAGGCCAAAGGGCACTCGGAGTCCTTAGAAATCAACACACAAGTCGGACTAAAACAGAGCACTCGAGAGCACTCGGTTTAGGTGATAGATGGAAGGGAAGTTCCAGACCAAAGGGCACTCGGATGATTCCCAATTTTTGATGGAAGATAGGGGTATGAAAGAGGATTAAAAGAGCTAACCCAACCTTGAATCCACCACGGTTTGTCCTTGCACAAGGGTGACACACACACACACACGCAGAAGGCGATACTCTCGGACACACCAAGAAGAAAAAGCAAATATGCAACTCGATTTCTATCAATTCAAAGTCTGCTCATTCTTGACATACAAGGCCTTTAAATAGGCTTGAAACACAGAAGAAAGCAAGGGAAATTCGTGCATAAGGAGGAGCTAACAAAACATTAAAGAAAGGTAATGGAAAACAAGACACCATAAAGTAAGGAAAAAGCGGAAAGTTGGTGGAAGTGGATGTGTAACGTCTTGCAACGGCTAGGAGGCTTAAAGAAGTTCTTCATGAGGTTGAAATCATGTAGAAAACATCCCCAATTCGTGCTTGCTAAAGGTGGGCCGAAATTGGGTTCAAAGGTGGCACCATATCCTCTCCAATGGGTTGGTATCTTCTTGGACTTGTGTAGAATATGTTTGGGCTCTTTGGGCTTGGATCTTCAGCCAATTTATTGAGAATACATTCTTCAAATATCTTTTTAGGAGCCCAGGTGTTAGTCCACGAAATCTTAAGTGTTGGACAACACAAACTCCAAGACATTGCAATGGTTTGTGCTTGTTGCCGCTATCGTGTCCTTTGCATTGTATGGCCCCTTGTCGGATGTTTTGATCAGCCATTCTTCAACATATGCATTGATCTTTGAACGTAGGCTTCGAGTCCTTTGTCTTGTGAGTGGAGGTATGGGAATGGTTGGCATGGTAAGCTCGGTGTTCACTTCTTCTCCTCCTATAGCGTCTATGGCATCGTCTTGCTTCTTGTTCGGGTTTTGTTCGTCATCGTCCATGTCTTGGTTGACGTCCTCATCATTGCCTCCCCCTTTCAAAGGTTTTGCCCTCAAAACTGAATCTTCTGCATCAAACGGAAGTAGGTCAGCTACATTGAAAGACGAAGAGACATTATACTTACCTGGTAACTCCAAACGGTAGGCATTGTCGTTGATCTTCTCCAAGATGCGGAATGGTCCGTCTCCTCTTGGGGCTAGCTTTGAGCTCCTCTTGTTTGGGAATCTTTCTGGCCTAAGATGCAGCCACACCCAATCCCCGACTTCAAATGACACCTTCTTACCTCCCTTGTTGGCTTGTCGTGTGTATTGCTCGGTTTTTCTTGCGATGTTATCACGAACTTTGGCATGTAGCTTTTTGATAGCATCTGCTTTCTTCTCCCCATCAAGGCTGATCATATCTTGGTTTGGAATTGGTGACATATCTAGCGGTGTCAATGGGTTGAAACCGTAGACAACTTCAAAAGGCGAATGCTTTGAGGCGGAATGCGTTGCTCGGTTGTATGCAAACTCAACGTGTGGTAGACACTCTAGCCAATTCTTGAGGTTGTTTCCTATTGTTGCTCGAAGTAATGCAGCCAATGTTCGATTTACGACCTCGGTTTGGCCATCGGTTTGCGGGTGACAAGTTGTTGAGAAGACGAGCTTTGTCCCAAGCTTTCTCCATAATGTCTTCCAAAAGTAGCTCAAAAATTTTGAGTCTCGATCAGACACAATACTTCTTGGCAACCCATGCAAGCGAACCACTTCCTTGAAGAACAAGCCGGCGATGTGTGAAGCATCATTCGCCTTTGCACATGGAATGAAGTGTGCCATCTTCGAGAACCTATCCACAACAACAAAAATGGAATCCTTGTTCTGGATTTTTGGAAGTCCAAGAACAAAGTCCATTGATAAATCAGTCCAAGGACAAAATGGAATTGGAAGAGGAAGATACAAACCGTGCGGGTGTGTCTTAGATTTTGCTTGATGGCATATAATGCATCGAGCGACAAATCGTTCGACATCCCGTTTGAGATGCGACCAAAAGAAGTGCTCCTTGACCATCACAAGTGTTTTCTCGACACCAAAATGTCCCATGAGAGCTCCTCCATGAGCCTCTTGTAGAATGAGATCCCGCAACGAGCATTTCGGGATGCATAGTCGTCGTTCCCGAAAGAGATAATCGTCCTCCATGTAGAACAGTCTGTGAGCTCCCTTAGTGCACTCCTTATAAATATCTCCAAGCCCGAGCATTTTTGCCTCCATGATCGTAATCAAGGCATGTCGCCTTGACAATGCATCGGCCACCGCATTGTCTTTGCCCTTCTTGTATTTAATCACGTACGGAAAAGTCTCGATGTATTCTAGCCATTTAGCATGCCTCCTCTTGAGTGTTGATTGACCCTTGAGATGTTTCAATGTCTCATGGTCGGTGTGGAT